CTTGAGAGTAAAATGTCTGCAAACTTCGAGAAAATGAAACTAACACTGTTTAGATAATTGATAGCGGTTAATAGAGTGCCAAATCGTATTGCTTTAATTAAGGCTAAATTCATGTTCTTCATAGCCATTATTTTATTATCATGGCCTCATTGTTGAATGCATTTCCTGGTGATTACTGCACAGCTGTGCGTATTGGCGTATAATAATGAATAATCTATTTCACTACTATTTAGAAGTTTCATAATTCCATAACAATATGAAAACTGGTATTGAACAACAATTTAGGTTGCTAATTTTTTTGTATATATACCTATATAAAAAGGTAACTTATGTAATGTGACAAGCGATTGCTCATTTTGAAACTGGACACGAAGTTGACTGTATGCTTTACCCAGGCCTCTAGACTGACTTGATCAAATTAATCAAAAGAATTAAGCATTTTCTTATCTATCTTCAAATATCCTAGGATTAATTGACCCTCAAACTGAGAAATTATTGTCTCTATTTTCATTGAAAAATCAATCTCCATATCAAACTACCTATCTATGAAAGATAATAAAATACATTCTGTAGTTTAACTATTAAATGCAATAATAACCAGAACATTATTAATTTGGAACTGTTTTATCTATATTCATTCCACTTCCCATCGTCTTTTGCTTGAAATATTTTTTAGCTGTATATATGTGTTGCAATAAAACATGCTTAATTCTAAATCATTGGACCACAATTATATTTTATGATGTAACGTAATTACCCTTTGTATCATAAATCATACTCTCAACATGTGTACAGCACTAAAATTGACATAATCCGAAATAATATCCCGTAATGCTATATATTCATGTTAATAAAAAATATTACTTATTCGTCTATTAATTTTTGGTTTGTGGTAGAACGTGTTTTATAAGGTTTTAACTTGCTCCATCATAAACGTCCGTAGCAAAAGAATTAATTTTCATTATGAGTGAAAATTGTAACAGTGTAATAACAGAACAACAACCCAGCAAAATAAACAAAAATGTTAATACACTAACTAGAAGTGATGCACCGAATCTGAGAGTGTTGAGAGCAGAAGCTGAGTCGATAGCTGTTCCACTCGACCTAACTATTTTGAGTATAAGATAGAGTGAAATTGGGCGTTCACATGACAGGTTAGTCTTATCGTACTGTCAGTATTATGAGCGGTATTAAAGCTAGAAGCTTTAGCTTGATATTGTGATGTATGTGTATTTCATTTCCAAAACAATTGTCTGATATACCTCATTCTAGCAGTGAAAGGACCCCAGTGTGAGTTCTGCGGGCGCCCCTCTCAATTGCAATAAGCAGGTATTACACTGTGACATACTGTCAGTACCCTATTGTAGAACTAAGTGTCTCTCAAGTTGTAGATAAGCAGGTAAGCTGAAGGTGAAACACCAGTAGAGCTTGATTCAACTATTAGGAAGCTTTGGGACTGATAGTAAGGCAATGTCAGAACAAAGTGAACTCAAACTTCGCATTCGCTATTCTTTCAAAATAATGCTGGGCAAAATAAAAATATTGAGTATTATGGTTGAAATATGTGACAGTAGATAATTGAGACGTGTTATGAAAATTGGTGATACCGAGAGGCCTGAACGAATTAGTAAATATTATTCTCATGTATTTATGGAAATGGTTGATCGCAAATAATACTGCAACGTGTGATATCTGCATACGTGATATCATTATAGTAACAATTGTTTCGATTTGTTGTTATCTTCGTTTCACAAAATACTTGTTTTTCATGTATCAAAAACTTGACGATTGATTGAGTATGTGTATGATTGTTTTAATATAGTTTGCCTAAGCATCTTCAATTTTCACATAATAATTTATCATATAGAGGCGTTTGCTTTACAATGATTTGAATTCAGTACTAAATGTACTAGTAAACACATGCCTATGCATTTATTATCCGATAATTTCACTCAATTGGGGATGTGTGCTTACTAAATATTAACAATTAACTGAAATATGTGCTAAATGCACTGTGTAGCATGCATTGTCGGGATCAGCACCCTGCAATTAAAAAAAAATGACCTGGCATATTTTCCCGCCAGATGCATGACCACCTGATTGAATATAATATTAATTACAGACAAATTATTACCAACAAGGGGATCAGAACTCGCAAAACGTACTCCAGTAAGCCATAATTAATTTAAACATTGATTTCTTTTTATTTACTTCTTCTTCGCCCATTTTGTTAAGAATCAACGGAATCCAGGAGAAATTGCCCATTGTAGAATATTTCATATGCAATTCTGATTATTCATCCGTTTGCCGTGGAATAATAACATTTGTGTTGTATTTTACAAACTGACAAATAAATAAAAAGATTTCCTTCCAAACCAAATTGTCGGCATTTGTTTGCATTTATTTAATTGCAAAATACATTCGACACGTCCATTTATATTGGTGAATGTTATGATGCTGCTTGATTTAATAAACAATCTAACTATAGTTTATTGACCAAAAGAGGATGTCATACGCCATGTATCAATCTTACAAATCAATGTCCCTTTTGGTGTTCACACAAAGTGAAAACAGAGCTGAATCTCTGCTGAGCTGTTTTTGGAGTTGTTGCAAAAATGAGAAGTAAATAAAGTGGCTTGCATAGGCCAACGGGCAAGTTGCAGAATATGCCAACAAATGAAATAAAGCAAGACTAAATAGCAGTATATACCAACAACTATTCTCCCTCTATGAACGACCACTGACACTTTAGCGTGACAATTTGAAAAGTGAAACCAAAGAAATTTACAGCGACCCTGATATGTGAATTAAGAACTCGCAATTCTTAACGTAATCTTTCAGTTAAACCAGTCACCATGTGTTTCTTGCCATCATCTCCTGCTTAATTATACAGCATATTTGAGAGATTAAATTGCAAAAAAGAAATACTATCCGTGTCGAGGCAGGTCTATAAGAGGGACTGTGAAGGTACACCTATGATTCTCGTTTCTCATTCCACAGCAATGTTTGCCTTTCTTCCCAACTCACTCTTCTCTTCAAAGTATATTTGGTTTATTTTGTTTAATGTAGGTTTTATAGTATAATTTTCTTCACAGGGATGTATGTACCCCAAGCTAGCGGAATTTTTTGTTGGTGTAGTGGCTGTGCTGGCATGCAGCCACAAGCCCACCTCTTTAACCAGTCATTGTTAATGACATATAGTGAATAAATGGCTTGTCTAGTATCAACAGAAATTAGATGTATTAAATTGAAATATATGGTCAGAAATTAAACAGGATAAGCTATTCTTCCATTTTTTGTATTCTAACTGAATTTCTCTTGTCTGGGCTCGTGTACAGAGATATAGTAGTATTGTCAAAAAACAAGATTGCATGCAGTCAACCATCTTTGACCCGACTGTGAAACTTATTGTCATGGACATGTATTATAACATCTAAAATTTGAAGAAAAAAATGTCAACAATACATCATGAAAAAAACAAAACAAGATGGCTGCCGGTTGGTCATTTTCGATTCAAACACGATTATAACGTACAATGCATGTACCAAATTTTAAACAAAACTGACAAAGCATGCATGATACCACATTTTCAAAAAACAAAATGGCTGCTAGCCAGACATATTGCATTGAATCAGTAAACCACTGTATGTGCATATGTCCTAGGTAAAGTACTAGGCACATACAAAGAATGAACAGATTTGGTAACAGGGTTCTGAAATATGTCTCTGGACGGACGGACGGAAGCCGAATTATAAGTCCCTTTTCCAACTTTGTTCAAACGGGGACTAATAAATCTGGCAGTCCTTAATTGCCAAAACTTATATCTTGGTGTGCATTTTCATAGGTTTATTGTTCATGTTAGTTTTAAATCATATATCTTAATGCATTCCACATTACACTGATTCAAGACAGAAATTCACTAAAGATGATTTGGTGAATATGATTCTTTTTCTCATTAACATATTTATACTGTACGGTGGGAACATCTTCCAAAAAGCTTTGGATAAAAGGCTTCTCGATATTTTTGCAATTATTACTAAAATTTGATAGACTAGTAAAATTCAGCTGAATCTCAGTGTTACGAGAAAAAGTATATATCTAGAGTATGTAATAAGAATACAGAATGGAGGTATTGAACATGTGTTTCTCGTATTTTAAAGAATGCACACGATTCAACACACAATACTCATAAAGGTACCAGTAAAATTGTGTATGTATCACCCTAATGTGGTACATACACACTATCATACATTGTTCTCTTATCAAGAGCTAGATTGAAGTAGAAAAGTTTTCAAACGTCAATTAGTATATATATATATAATTTTAATACATGTACTATCCTTACACCATTCAAGAATTAAGTCAGCAAATTTCATGCAAATGTCTACGTAGGGTCATATATTTTTATATACGCGACTTTAACAAAACACCGGCCTACCCCCTTTACTTTCTGTCCAGTTTCTTATGGTTGTGTCCTTTTCGGATGCAAATATAAGAACTCATAACGCAGCTGTAAACAAAATAGTGTTTTGAAAGGTAGTATGGCGACTCTTAAATTAAAATAACAATACTGGTAAAAGTATAATACAGACATATGTTGAACACAATTTTACTCTAGATGAATAACTGAATATGAGACAAAAATGCATGCAATGTCACATACATGCCGCTATTGAGATGGCCTATTCATAGACCCACCACATTATCAACATTACTATCCCCAATTATAATAAAAAAGAATAAACATTGTTTTGAATTTCCTAATCATATCGAAATCATTGACGTATTCTATAGCAATTACAGTGGTGGTGTTTGTGCGAATGATTTTAGGCGATTCTGACGCGATATTTCTCTGGCTGAATTAGAAATAGGTGGTGAATTAATTATTCTCTTATTCTAGAAACCATAATTTCTTCCCACATGCAAACACACAACAGTTACATGAAGTATATATGATAATAACCAATGGTTTAACCTGTATCAATTTAATTCATGGTTAATTAAAATTTAGGAATTTTATACCCAAGAATTTCATAATCCAATCGATAAAACTCGATTAAATCTCTGAGAATGTTTTGGGGCAAACTTTTCATTGATTCGCTGAATCTGACGTTGCCCCGTTGTATATGTATTTCTGGAAAACTGTATTGATCAGCGATATTGATTAGTTCGAGAAAACATTCAGCGTCCTCAGCAAGGGTTTCAAAGTGCCCAACAAAGTCATAATCGTGAAGGCATAATTTATACCCTACTCTTTGATAGTGACTAGAACTTGGAATACTGGCATTTGCTTTGTAAAAAAGAACCATCTGGGCAAACTCCGAGAATGTAATATTGTAAATATCTCCCTTAGGTTTGGTATGCATCACACTGTGATTTCGGATTCCACTTCTAATAATGAGGTCATCGAACTTTTTATTATTCACTGACTGCCCTGATTTGTAATGCATCATGCCATAGTAGTAAGAAACAAGTCGTTCCAGAGGTTCCCGGAAAAATATTGCCTTTTTATATTCTTCTATGGTCTTATTTAACGTGGTGTTCAGCATTCTATATCCGTACATATTTCCCATACATTGTGGATCAACAACATCATGCAATAAATGCCTCCAAGTCGTGGATGAAACTTTAGGCGTTAGCTCAAACATAAATTTGTATTTGTTTGAAACAATAAACCCGTCTAACTTCCTTGGTTTGTTAGATGGCATTATATTGTTGACCATGCAGACATGTCTGGCAGTTTCCATTCGATGTTGACTGATCTTTGTACAATAATTTGTGTTAGCGTTAGGATTTTCTCTCTCATGCTGTAAAAACAATGATAATGATAATAATAATATTATTATAATCATTATTGTTGTTATGTGTTCATCATAAAAAATGATGGGAACTTATAAAGTAAACTAAATCAATACAGTAATACAACAATATGTACAACATAAAATGAACACACAGTAACATACAATACTAAAAAAACTACACAAATACAGTCAGGTTAAACACCTCGATAAAATGTGTTCAGTAGACTAATTAACCAATTATTTAGTGGCGATGAAACGATGTTGATACGAAGCATGAGTGTGCATTCATTATTTGATGGAATGCGTGAATAGAAGAAAAATCTGATTTGTATGTCCCTTAGATTGAACATCATCAATATAAGGGCTATTGAAAATAATTGATTTCGATACAATGTTACCGTTGATTAATGAAAAATGAACAATATTGAATAATAAAAATATCGATATAACGGTAAAACGCATAGTGTCTCCATTATGCACAGCCTTAGTATAATACAGATTGTTCGACACCGAACGCGCTATATATTTTTCATGATTAACATCCCAGGCCGGCAGGCCATATTCTAAAATTGGGATCACTAGCAATTTATAATGACAGAACAGGAACAAGCTAGAAGATTATTCTCCATGCTCGAAACAAACCCAAGCTATCTCTTGGCACGAGACACAATACATATACTGATGTATATAAATTATTTGATACAACACATTCATAATGTTTCTTTTTGTGATGATGTTCCAAGCTGTTGTCAAAGGACACAGTCTTTCCAATTCATATTATATATTCCACTGAAGACGCTTTGGAGCCACAATTCAAATCACGTGAATTAAAATAATTTAAATGAAGTCAAATTCAAATTATTTGACAAAGCAGTTTTTCAGAAGATGAATTTGTTCCAAACATCATTAAAATATTTTCAGCGATTCGAATAAAATAAACACAGTTACGATATAATGTGTATGACATGCTACAATATAGAGTGAATCTAATATACACAACATGATATACGTGCTTACTGACTTCTAATTATGCACAATTGCCATATTAGAAATGTCTTATAATCATTCCCTATTTGAAATGTCAGGTTGGTAGCGTGATTATACTACAAATTATGTAATATTTATTTTGAAATGATCAATCACCTTTCGCAAAATTTCCACAAAGGTATGATTTGTTTCCTGGTCTTTTGTAAGCAATTGCTGATCTCTAGTGCTCTTCTGATAACCTGGGACGGCCAATAAGGCTGAAAGATAAATGAATTCTTTATTCAAGCCTCAGTTATCATCAAAATTACAAATGGTCGTCTGGCTTTATTTAGCAACTGTCTCCATCATTACTGTCTGCCTAAACACATGGAAAAGCTTTTAGTATTGTTATAATACTCCTTTCAAATTGACGTTGTTAATATTTACTTATTGTCACAGAGTAAAAGGTACTTTCCTGAAATTTTAAACCCATTACCCTGATTTCCGTTTGTTTTCAACCAATAATATTTATATTTATCTGTACAAAGTAATAGACTGTTTAATTCTTCACACAGAAATTTGACCTTTCCGTTCAGTTGATGACAGAGACATGATTATCACAGAGCATGTTTTAAGAAGAGAAGGGTACGACTTATCGTAAAATGAATACGGTGTTTTGGCAGTATTATTCGTTCGCCAAAATAACAAAGAAGCGCTCTACAATAAAGTTTTTATCGAAACGTATAACATGACAATTCATATAATATACAGTTATGGGAGCATGCTCGAAAGTTATCAAAAGTGCCTCTCTATAAACAATGATATATATAAATTGAATTATTTTACCTAGATTGACATTTGTTATCCATTTCGTATGATACAAAAGCACATACAACAAAGTTAATATTATCAAAATTATAAGTCGTTTCCTCAAAGGGCTTCTGCGTTCTGCCATTGTGTCGTCTGAGAACAAATACATGAAAATACACTTTTTGTTATCAATGTTAAAACAATTAAAAATAGAAATCTCTGGATTATAATTAAGTTGTATTTTGATTTAGTGTTGCACACGCTGCATTTTCTTGTGAGTATTTCCGGACGCGTGTTTGTAAACACGTGTTTTAATCTTTGGTGGATTAGATGAATACGGCTTTTCGGCCCAAGGGAGTAAGGCGCAAGCAGAGGATTGCTATTATTTGGGTAAGGCTACGAAAACGATTACCTATGTTGCAAGAACAATTGGTTTTTCAGATATTATACTACGGAGGTGTATCGTGTGATACTTGTGATCAAATATGCCACCACCACAACCAATTTTAGTTGTAATCATTGGTCGTAGCACTACCTGTCAGTTGCTAGGGCACCGGGGACGGAGTCGGATTAATTTTTTCCCGGAAGAGCATCCCCCCTTAGTTTTTGGCGCGAGGGATGGTTAGCAGATCTGGCCTCCCATGTAACATTTCGTGCCGCCTCTTCTACCTGACCGTGTTATCATCACATTAAACAACGCGTTCTCAGCTTGTAAAACAGGCTATGAACTTGCAGGTTACCGAGAGCGATCGAAAGAAAACTGTATTACATGATTTACTGGGTTGCCCTTAAAAGCCAAGCTAAGACTGTCAATGCTTTGGGTATGCAAATACGAGCATGGGCACCGGCACACGCTATAACGTGATCAAAACACGGCTACTTACCTATATCCAATTAATTACTTAACAGGAAACTGGTCAAATTTAGTAATATCTTCTGGTCACTCTCTTTCAGTACTCTGTCCTTCGTGGCTAAAGCAATATTTTGAATAGTTGTCACCAGCTGTGCTAAAAAATGTTTATTCTCATAGTATTACTGAGGAGAGTGCGTGTTTAGAAATAACTGCATACAAAGAGTTAGCTAGACTGCAATGCTAGCTCACGAACATGTCTCTTGTTTTGCATGAGTGTGTTCAGTACTCAGTGTAGTGACTAACACTTTTTTTTCAATGAATAGAATATTTATCACGCATATGTATATATGAATATAAACATGCTAAATATAAATAATGAACTGCCTGTATCATGTATCATATATATAGATCTAGGGCTCCAATTTGATAGATGACTCAGCAAACTAATAGTGTTATGTTAGTACTATGAGATAAATAGGAGCTACATTTTAAGAGAACTTCACATCACAAAATTACCACGTTCCAGAACATAACACATAACAGGACAACTTTCTGAGATGGGATTTGACATTGAGACGAGTGAGCAGAAATAAAAAGTAATTGTATTCAAACACAGAGAAACGTATTCATCTAAATGAACTCAGGCAAAACACTTATCGCATCGTTATCCATTCTAAGTATTATTCATGTATACATGGCTTGGAAATGTTGTGAAAAACGTATTATTGGAATACAATCCGCCGAGAACGAAGACAGTGTAAACTGTAAAAAAAAGATGTAGTCAACCATCAATTATATTCACCCATTATAAAATAAGCCCATGGCTTCTAGTGTACATGAATCTTATCAAAGGGCAAAACTTGTTGAACAGCCGGACTCATTTCATCAATGAAAATGAAAGTACACAACATAGTCACAGAAAAAATATAGACTAAGTGGGCAGCGTACAAAAAAATTTTGAATATACATGTATATATGAATGATGTAATAAGGAGTCAGAAATGTGTGGATTCACTGAAACACGTCGTAAATCGATTCGCATTCTGCCAGCATGACCTGATTATCTCATTATCTCGTGCAATGCATTAAGGTATGGTCGCGTTAAAGGGCGGCGGTCGCGCGCCTTTCTTGTGCATGCGCATGCGCTCTTAGAATGGAAATCACGAGCACGAATTTTGATCTGAGGGCAACAACCAATAATTACCACCAGTAACTACTTCGATACCATCCAATCACCAAAGAAATTACATAGTTAAGGCTTGATACCGGTCATCTGTTTTGTTTCAGTGCTCGGACGGTTAGTTTCCCAGTCGGCTGTGTTTCGTCGATTGGTTTGTTGGTTAAACTTGATTGGTTGGTTGATTGAAGGGGTGTGTAATGCAATGACTTCTGTAACTGAGCAAACAATCTTCTTATGTTAGTTGAAGGGGATTTACTGTGAACACTGATCGAATAAGGCTGTGGGTTCTAACAATCAGCTGGACGTTTTGGCCAATCATCTGATGTAGCTAGAATAGGGAACCAACTTGAATGAATTGTATCCTTGGTCAGGATTGCGTGAGTTCTAGGTCTGGTTATATTTCAAAAACAATTAAAACTGTAATTGAGTTTTTTTATTGTGTGTAAGTGTGTAACGATGATAATTTGGACTTAAGGTAGAGATGCAGTTTACCTGACAGGTATTTTAATTAGTTAATTAGGCAACCAAGATGACTTCCCTTGTCCACAAAACTATATACTTTCGGAAAGCTTATTGTATGAATTTTAAAATTGTGCAAGTATTTTTTATGGACACTGTAGTTTGAAATATGCACAAAAATGTGTTTTTTTTGGTCAAAAGTGATTTAAAAAAATTAGCTTCTAAACCATGCCTCTGGTTTACGGATACGTGTTCCACTAATGATTTTAATTTCAAATTTTCACAGAGTACAGATGTTGTCAGTTGTCAAGCAATATGACAGAACAAAATACTTAACATCGGTTTACTGCGACGATTGGTAAAAGGTGGCCTTGTGAGTGCACCCAAAAATAAAATATCCTGTGACTAAAATATGTATTGCGCAGATTAGCAATTACCCGCAATAAACATGTGGCACGTAGTTGAGGGTGGTTGACATGTGATCATTCGTGAATAATTCAGCAGTCGCCTTTTTAATTTGAACGCTGTATGGTATATAGGGCGATGTTATGCATTGTTGGATTGGGTGAGTAGCACTCGTGACCAGTGCTTCAGCGGGCATTGGGGCCAAAACGGCAAAAGTTGCTGCGAATGGTATGTGTATCATAGGTTGAGGTAGAAATGTTACAGCTGTCTCGTCGCAATCAGAAATTTCAAATGTCAAGTACATGCCCTATGAGATAAGAGCAACGAAGCTGGAGAGTGGGATGTTGACGATTGCAAAATAAAATAATCTCCATTGTCATACAGTCAGAAAGCCACCCTCCCCTTTCCCTTATTATAATAAACTTGGACGTAGAATATGTAGCCATCTCAGTACAATAACTAAATTTAGCGACTTTGAAAATGAAATGAAGTGTTTAATTATTTTAAAAGATCATTTTCATTAGTAAATGGCGCCCTCACTCAGTAATAATTAGAATGAGTGGTTGGTCAAACGTTTTATGAGTCGGGTGCATCTATTGGCTAAGCTTGTTGTACATACATGCAAATGATATGTCATTTAACCATTTAATGCTGTAGAGTGTTTCGGGAGAGGTGGAAGATTTCATGTTTGCATGGTGGTAATCTCGTTGTTTTCAGGATGCAGCCTGATATTTGTTGCTTTCTTGGTTGTTCATTGTGGAGAAAATTTTTGTGTTGAGTGGAAGCTTAAGTGTCTTTTGGTTGTAGGTCATTGTTTAGACACCCTGTAGCTTGAAATGGTATGGTCGAAATTAAAATTTGATATTGCGATGTCGTCCAAAAACATGGCATCATTTCTGTTTATTCATTACTGTTGTAGATCCCGAAAACTAGCCATTAAATATGATGTCTGCGAAAAAATGGTATGCTGAAGAAAATTTATCAATTATTGCAGCCAATAATTTAATTAGAATTGTGAGCAAACTGTGACACCAAATCTAATCGTTGTATTGTTATAGTTCTGAAATAAATTCTTAAAATGTCTTGAAACAGATATAAATATAGGGTTATGGATTGTAAAATATTAATTTATATATAACAGTCAAGTATTATTGACACTTACGATCATAGTTAGTAGCAAGGACTTTTGAGATTGAGTATGTCAATGTATTTTGTGGTCATTTGTTCAATTTAAATTTTCAAAAGCAGAATTTGGCCAAGTGCATTGTAACAACAGCCCAAATGACTGTCAAATATGCCATGTCCCCGTCCCTCTCTCCCTCCCTCCTTTTTATCTCGTTCTCAGCTCTTGTTACCGGTCTACCCCGTACTTGATGCTAATAAGCACATTGGTGAATTTATGAATTAATTACACATGTAATTGAGTGTTTTAAAATACTATGTAACACTTTAGGAGTTTTAGTATGCCTGTGAATTGTGAAAGTAAAAATCAAATGAAATCAAGCGAAATACAGCTCAAATTATATAGCAAATTAATTCAGTAACATTTTTTTTACATTTTTTATTTGTGAAAAAATTGGTGTTTTTAAGACTGCAAACAATAAAATACTCATAGTGCTAGGCTAATTCACGGAATGTCTTGACTGCGAAAGTTCATGGTTTTGTGACGGACTCACTGACAAATAAAATAATCTCTTTTATTTTGGAGAGTTCTTTGTCGATGTGACGGTGTACTGTATGAGTGCATACTTTGAGGTATCATCATAATAACGTTATTATTATACATCTTTTCCTTCCAAAGATACATCATGAGAATGCCGAAATCCAAAATGTTTAGAACAGAATCAGCGAACTTCTTTGTGTGGAGTCCGGCCAAACCCTGGTGGCAGCCATGTTTGTTTTTATTATTCGAGGAAGCTTACGCCCGTAATCATTCCATATTTGGAATTCACATTTCCTAATATGGTAGGATGAAAATACCCCGTAAAATACCGTACAATTACGGCACGCTGTAACGAGTATTAATACCAGTTCACTTCATATTCAAACTTGATGAATTTAGAGATTGTACTGAGGTGACTAGATATTCTGTGTCCATGCACGTTGACTCTAATAGGGGATAGGGGATGGTGGATTTCAGAATCTATGACAATAAAGATTATTTTAATTTTGCATTCACCAATATCCCACTCTCCCACCTTCATCGCTCTCACGCCACACGGTTTCCCACTTGCCATTTAAAATCTCTGATTGCGACGAGACGCGGTAAAATCCATCACATACACAATTCACGATTAGACAACCGGATTTACCTACAATGTGACCAGCGTAGATCGGCGCACACCAATGATGTATACGATCGAGTGAACTCAGTACCATATAATACTTACCTGTACGGATGTAACATTTCTACCACAACCTATCACACACATACCATTCTCAGCAAGGACTTTAGCCGTTGCGGCCCCCATACCCGATGAATTACCGGTCACGAGTGCAACACGCCCAATTCAACGATGCATATTATCGCACTATATACTATACAGCGTTCCAATGGAAAAGGAGACTGCTGAATTATTCGCGATTGATCATATGTCCACCACCCTCAACTTCGTATCACGCGTTTATTGTGGGGAATTGTTAATCTGCAAAATACCTGTATACTTATATGAGTCACAGGGTATTTTCTGCACTCATAAGACCGTCTATTTCCGATCGTCGCAGTAAATTGATGTTAAGGATTGTGTGTAGGCATATTTTGCTCAACAACTGTTATATTCAACAGTGGGTTTCTAAAAAAGGACAGATGCATTATCAATTTTACAATCATTGGTGATTTGTTGTGCATCAACATATTTATAATCATTAATTATATTTTCAAAGGTATAGCCAGTTAAACTGGCCTTTGCTTCATACCTAAACTTGGCCAAATTTTATGACCAAAAACATAATTATATTTTTTCCAGCACTATTGTCCCACACCCTCCACTTTTTTCTACTACATATACATGGTTTTGAAAGAGACATTGTCTTTTTTTGTCAAAAATATTATTTCATTTTTGTTTGTAAAAAATGACCAATCCTAACATTAACACCTTGTTTTAAACAATGTGCTTGAGGTTAGAATATGATAAAACTGTTCAGATGGCACCAATATAACTTGTTGTATCATTTGATATAGGCTTCCAACAAAAAACATTCGATTAAAAATGATATGTTGTGGGTTCACATGAGAAGCAGAATGTGGTTATCATTTATTTGTTTTTCATTTTTATACTTATATGTGGTGACAATGACTTTCTACTATCACCTACAATAATATTATAATAATTACATAATATTTACCCGTGCACTGCGCCCGACGTACATTAATAGCCCATATGAATGTGGGATTTCGACATGTGAAAAATATAGTTCATGCGTGCTTTACCACCAGCAAATACAATCCAGCGTAGTAATAACTAAGCTAATTCACTCTATTATATAATAGCTGTATTCAATATAGACAGGCCTATAATATTAATACGTTGCCTTTCTCAATTCGTATATAATTTCGTAACTTTGACTACCGTTAACTAAGTATAATCTGCTCTATCTTTGAATTAACTAACTAACTTCTAAAAGTGCAATATGGACGAGAATAAAGATATATCATTTACTAAAAATGCTGCTTTTGCAGAACGCGCAACACTATTCCTTGAATGAAAAATCGAATACACTAGTACGCATATGCAATTACTTTTATTTACGTACCCCCAAAACAGAGCATATACGTATTCGACAATGTCATTGTTGCATCTCAAATGTGTGCAACAGCTTTGTGAGAATCGTGGTCAATCATAATTCAATATATCATCAACATACAGTATCAAACAAAAAAAATACATTTTCTCGTCCATATTGCTTTTTAGGTACGTATACTGTATAACCTTATGTTGCAAACACATGCTATAAAATACATGACACAAGTTGTTAAAATAATCACAGCTGTATTTTCTTGAAATCATTCATACATAATATATTCACATGATGTGGGGAATGACGTCAGACAAGTTGTTAGGTTTCTTGCTCGATCGGTCTTACTATCAGGTCATGTATCTAAAAATAGAATGTTGTTATTAGAACGGGTGTATTTATTCTGATGGTGTAAAACATTTGTCTCATTTAGATTCACCAGAACTATGTATAATATAATGTATTATTAGATTCACGTGAATTGAAACAACATTTACAAGTCGATATCATGATTGAACCACTTTTCATTGTTCACATACGAACATTGGAGACTTCAACCAAATGTGAATTCAAAAGCGTGTACCTGTACATGGGGAGGTGACTGTAGTACATATTTCACCATGTCAGCGATGTCAGAAGATTCCAACAACTGTTGACAAAAAGAAACATAATTTAATATTAACCTGGCTAAAGCTGAATACAGTTACACAACTTAAACTTGTAGGATATGATGAACACCAACCTCAACCTTCATAGCTTCTTTGGGCCAGTAGTTTGTGATTGTGATGGTATTTTAGTAATTTCTGATGTATTTTGTTTCACTAACATTTTAGACATTAAGATTTTTATCGGCGGTTTTCTATCGGTTTCTCTCATAGACTTGCATAACACAGACGTGTGACACGAAATGGCATCGCAAATAGAAGTCGATAAAAGCAGAATATTTTCTCGCAACACACCAATCGATAATATATTTATTAAACGTTCACTCTCACTTTTCCCCTTGATAAATGCTCTGAACAACACGTAGCTCCGGTAAAATCCATTTCTTTCAGGTCGTACGAGAAGAAGGTATTCCTGAAAACTTGTTGGATACTTCCGTAAAACAAACTACTCATCTTCGTCTACTTCAGAGGCATACTAATAAAAGCAGACGACCATTACCTGGCGTTTTATTAATTTTGTCCTCGTTCGACCTCAAGAAAATGGCTGTCACTTGAGTTACGTACGGTTTAGCGAGCTAAATCTCGGGGAAAACAACTTCAAACGGATAATTTTTGTCACGGTTTTCGCGCTGGTTAGTATTTAATAAACATATTGTTGATAGGTGATAGTTTCTGTGCTATATGAAAATGGTGATTAATTGCGACGTCATTTGGCGTGCCATGCAAGTCTATTGGAGCAACCATTGCTCTTCTGTGTCGATAAAAATCTTTAAATAACAAATTAAATGACACAAAATACATCAGAAATGACTAAAACACCATCACAAAAACTAAAGAGCGACACAAAAAGAGATATGCACCCACAGCTACGGCGCTGAAAGCCCCGATAGCGTCCTCTCAGTCGTATTCTAACTATCAATGAGTGTGTTCTGATAACAATTTAAAATCTTCTATAAATTACTTGACAATGTATGGAGTTTTAATTTCTGGGGGAAGTTGTCATGTATTTCGGCCTGTCCATATACACAGTACAATTAGTCATATACTGAGCATGAGTTATTTTCAAAATGACCATTTTGCCTAATTAGTATAATCTAGGGTATAGATAGTCTGTATAAACTGATAATGTTTATGAATGGCATATGTCTAGTATGTTTACTTTTGTCAGATATATTTCCGCTTGCTCAGACTTAAGGCGATCTCGCTATCATACAACTCACGGCAAACTTGCATGCTTTATGTTTAGTTACAGATATTTTTATAATGTATATGATAACCTTATATTCTGATTTCATTTTCTCGGCAATTTCGTCTCCGTACATTCTGTTAGCAAACATGGTGTTTACATTTCCCGGGGATATAGCCTGTTGGTAAAACACAACTTACGTTAGTCACATTATATCAATTAAAACATACTTCGAGTTACTTCCCATAACACAAAATCCAGGTCTCAATAAATTAGAAGCCTTGTTGTGGATGCGGAAGATAAACACTATGCATTACAGCTATGTTGAATCCAGTGTATCGTTATACAATCTGTCTAATATACGCATTGAACTATATATAACACATAACTGTGCAACTTACAGTAACTCTAATATGAGACTTCAACCCTCGTAACTCCTGACGTAATCCCTCAGTTAAACCGGTCACCATGTGCTTTGTACCGACATAAAGGTTAAGGTCATAGTCTCCCATTGCAACACGGTGTCCAGAAGTGCTTTAATTAAAAACATTATTGAGAATAAAGTAGACATAAAAATATGTTCAACCTTAATTATACAAGCCTCACAGGCTTTGTAGCATAACGAATTATCATTTGACCATTTGAAGCAAGGGTGTCGAATATGTCGTGCTTGCATCTATTGGTTTTCACCCACTGTCGCTATCTGTATTTATGTGTGGAATAATTAGAATGACAGCAACACAAACACACACATATGTATAGTAAATTATTTGTAATGCTCCCGTCTGTTATATAGTAATTACTCTATCATGTGATAACAACAATAGAACGTATCCTACCTATTAAACATGCGAGTTGGGGATCTTCAACAAGCATAAGTTAAAGTATGTGGCATGGTTCGACAGAAGTTTCTCCAAGGGAATTGAACTGTTTAATATCCAGACTACTCTTAATGCACTTGCCAAGAGTGCAAATGTATTTATGTGATGTTGTCTACCTCTGATAACAATCTGTGTGTTCCAGTTTATACATTTTTTAAAAATCGTTTACCTGTTTATATGTATGATATGTCCGTCATCCACATTGCGTTCTATCATTTGTTTGAATGCCTCTCTGGTACAAATACACAATGCCATAACATTCACCTAGCCAGAAAATATATTCTTATGAGAACATATGCGTGGGAAATACGATCCGGCATTACACTGTAAACACATAGTTGGAATACTTACGTCGATTATTTCTCTCCATTTCTCTGTCTCACCAGACAGCAATGGAGCTACATGAGACATACCAGCAGAATTAACACAAACGTCGACACCACCATGTTTGTTTTTTATTTCCTCAAACATGTTCAGTATTTGTTTCTCGCTCCGAAGGTCACATTTCATGGGATGGAGAACACCTTTGGCAGAACGTGATTTCAATTTGTCAGCTAATTCCTGAGGAGAAGGGGAAAGGTAGACGTCAACACCACTCTCGTTCAACAAACACACTGTACATTATATGTCGATATACTGTCAAAACACAAAAAAACACGTGTCTCAATTTTATTTAGGTAGACGAACTGCACGATCGCAGACCGAATGTCTGAAAGCGCGTTGCTGGGCGCGAAACGCTCGACTCGTTCGAAGTCGCTATAAAATCCCAGTTTTCTTTCCAACAAAATAGTCAAATAGTGAACGCAAACCTGGCAAACTAATCAATTCATAAATATTGCTGCGTATGTGTTTCCCTGACAAGTTATTGGCGTAAATTCAGGTGGAAGGTACTCAGATGAAGATAGACAAACGAATATGGCAGCAGGTCGGCATACCAATATGACTACCTGTAATGCGCTTCTCTGATTGGCTGTCATTGTCATGAGGTATAATAATAACCAATATGAACTTGACGGTAGATAAATCAATATCACGGCAAAATTGTACAACAGAATTTAGTACAGTTTATTGAGTTCACCTTACTGTATTCCCTCCCTCCATTATAATCGAGTATACCTCTGTGAAAAAGTGGCTGGTACCCGACTACGGACCGACAGCATGACGACTGCAGTATTATCACTGCAAAGTGGAGAATTGATGTACATAACAAATAATTAATAACAAAATGAGTTCTATATGTACAACCAATAATTTCCATATTTACCGATTACACGTGAAATTTATTATATGTGTTATTATTTTTTTATTTATTTGTCTTTAGATATAACTGAAAGCGGCTGAATGAAGTAAGAAGCAGCGTGTTCAACAACAACTTTAATAAATATGATTTACTTTTTTGGCTGCCCGGCAGCACGCATAAGTCGGTCCTGGCGTTTAGTGTGCATGATTCCGACGGTTTATGATATGGACATTGAGTTTATGCTATTTTTAGAAAGCTTATGATACAATGACTACTCTCTCCGCATTTTAATACCAAAATTATATCGTGTTCATAGACATTTGTGTATTTGGAATCAAAATTGATGTTCTGTGTACATAATGTTGACACTTATGTTAACCCTGCCCTATTTATTCAATATGGAGTTAATCGATGTGTGGTACTATTGTGCATTGGCTCTTACCTGTATGGCGGTAACATTCCTACCGCAACCAACCACACACATACCATTCTCAGCAAGAACTTTAGCCGTTTCTGCCCCGACACCTGACGACGCACCAGTTACCAGCGCTACACGACCAGCCCAGCGTTCCATATTGCAATCAGCAGTGCTTGCCGGGACTCTTACAGTATGCGGGAGTGGATACAGAACTGGTTTGCGAGTTATTAACAAAGCTTATAGTGCAGTGACCCGCATAACTTAGCTATTCACAGTTTTCATAAAGAGGCGCAAATTCAGTCACGTGCTATTTTGCGATCGAAATCGAGGCTAGTGAGTATAGCAACCAGTTTCCCTAAAAATTGCGGCAGTCGTTGAGGTAGACGTAGATAGATATTCAGTTTGACCAATTTTCTGCTTAGTGTACACATTATTTGGGTCTGGATACACAATCTTTTTGTCTAATTTCTTTTATTTACCATGAAGTGATTTATCTTTTTAAAAAAATCAAACAGTTTAATTGTTTAATGCTTTGTTTCTTGGAACAGAGAGGTAAGGAAGACATCACATTTTAAAAATGAATGTTGTCCTAGAGACAACTTATGGCTTACTGGATATATTATATTTAATGGATAATGAAATAATAGTACAGATGTGTGTAATACGACTATTTAGCAAAAACAATGCAGGTAATAACACCACATCCTGCAAATTAAAAAAAAAAATGCAGAACTTACCGAGCAACAAGCTCTGCTTTTGTCCGGTCCCCACGACATAGCAACCAAAACCTCAATTCATCATTGCAAAGCCTTGCAGGGTTTCTACCATTCAATGACGCACCTGGAATATCATTTTCTGACAGGTCCGAGTCCATATTTTTTACTAGATCTACAAGCATAACATTTTATACACAATTTTGAATGGTAGCTCTATAGTGTCTTCATTTACACATTTTTGAAAAAATAATATTTCCGTCAGTACCGATCACGTCCATACATCATACGTGAATGCTCATCGCGTATACTTTT